CTGACTTTAAATGAATAATCGTATTACAATAAACATGATCAAATCATATTCATGCTCAACGCAAACACCAAATAACATTTATTTAGGTTTAACACTAATCCCGAAAGTATAGGGAGTGTGCGATGATGATCATATCAATCTTGGAACTACTTCCAACACTCATCGTCACTTCCCCTTCAACTAGTCTCTGTTTATTCTGTAACTCCTGTTTCGAGTTACTAATCTTAGCAACCTAACAAGTATCAAATACTTAGGGGCTACTATAAACACTAGTAAGGCACACATCAATAACCTGTATATCAAATATACCCTTGTTCACTTTGCCATCCTTCTTATCCACCAAATATGCAGGGCATTTCCGCTTCCAGTGACCATTTCCTTTGCAGTGTAAGCACTCAGTTTCAGGCTTTGGTCCAGCTTTGGTCTTCTTCACGGGAGTGACAACTTGTTTGCCATTCTACTTGAAGTTTCCCTTTCTTTCCCTTTGCCCTTTTCTTGAAACTAGTGGTCTTGTCAATCATCAACACTTGATGCTCTTTCTTGATTTCTACCTTCGTCGATTTCAACATCACGAAGAGCTCGGGAATCGTTTTCGTCATCCCTTGCATACTATAGTTCATCACGAAGTTCTAGTAACTTGTTGATGGTGACTAGAGAATTCTGTCAATCACTATTTTATCTGGAAGATTAACTCCCACTTGATTCAAGCGATTGAAGTACCCAGCCGATCTGAGCACATGCTCACTAGTTGAGCGATTCTCCTCCATGTTTTAGCTATAGAACTTGTTGGAGACTTCATATCTCTCAACTCGGGTATTTGCTGGAAAATTAACTTCAAATCCTGGAACATCTCATATGGTCCATGACGTTTAAAACGTCTTTGAAGTCCCGATTCTAAGCCGTTTAAGCATGGTGCACTAAACTATCAAGTAGTCATCATTTTGAGCTAGCCAAACGTTCATAACGTCTGCATCTGCTCCTGCAATAGGTTTGTCACCTAGCGGTGCATCAAGGACATAATTCTTCTATGCAGCAATGAGGATAAATCTCAGATTACAGATCCAATCCGCATCATTGCTACTAACATCTTTCAACATAGTTTTCTCTAGGAACATATCAAAATAAACATATGAAAGCAACAACGCGAGCTATTGATCTACAACATAATTTGCAAAATACTACCAGGACTAAGTTCATGATAAATTTAAGTACAATTAATCATATTACTTAAGAACTCCCACTTAGACAGACATCTCTCTAGTCATCTAAGTGATCATGTGATCCAAATCAACTAAACCATGTCCGATCATCACGTGAGATGGAGTAGTTTTCAATGGTGAACATCACTATGTTGATCATATCTACTATATGATTCACGTTCGACCTTTCGGTCTCCGTGTTCCGAGGCCATATCTGTATATGCTAGGCTCGTCAAGTTTAACCTGAGTATTCCGCGTGTGCGACTGTTTTGCACCCGTTGTATTTAAACGTAGAGCCTATCACACCCGATCATCACGTGGTGTCTCAGCACGAAGAACTTTCGCAACGGTGCATACTTAGGGAGAACACTTCTTGATAATTAGTGAGAGATCATCTAAAAATGCTACCGTCAAACTAAGCAAAATAAGATGTATAAAAGATAAACATCATATGCAATCAAAATATGTGACATGATATGGCCATGAACATCTTGCGCCTTTGATCTGCATCTCCAAAGTACTGTCATGATCTCTATCGTCACCGGCATGACACCATGATCTCCATCATCTTGATCTATATCAATGTGTCGTCACATGGTCGTCTCACCAACTATTGCTCTTGCAACTATTGCTATTGCATAGCGATAAAGTAAAGCAATTATTTGGTGCTTACATCTTATGAAATAAAGAGACAACCATAAGGCTATTGCCAGTTGCCGATAATTTCAACAAAACATGATCATCTCATACAACAACTTATATCTCATCATGTCTTGACCATATCACATCACAACATGCCCCGCAAAAACAAGTTAGACATCCTCTACTTTGTTGTTGCAAATTTTACGTGGCTGCTACGGGCTGAGCAAGAACCTTTCTTACCTACGCATCAAAACCACAACGATAGTTCGTCAAGTTAGTGCTGTTTTAACCTTCACAAGGACCGAGCGTAGAAACACTCGGTTCAACTAAAGTGAGAGAGACATACACCCGCCAGTCACCTTTAAGCACGAGTACTCGTAACGGTGAAACCAGTCTCGCGTAAGCGTACGCGTAATGTCGGTCCGGGGCGCTTCATCTCACAATACCGCTAAACCAAAGTATGAAATGCTGGTAAGCAGTATGACTTATATCGCCCACAACTCACTTGTGTTCTACTCGTGCATATGACATCTACACATAAAACCAGGCTCTGATACCACTATTGGGGAACGTAGTAATTTCAAAAAAATTCCTACGCATACGCAAGGATCATGGTGATGCATAGCAACGAGAGGGGAGAGTGTTGTCCACGTACCCTCATAGACCGAAAGCGGAAGCGTTAGAACAACGCGGTTGATGTAGTCGTACGTCTTCACGGCCCGACCGATCAAGCACCGAAACTACGGCACCTCCGAGTTCTAGCACACGTTCAGCTCGATGACGATCCCCGGACTCCGATCCAGCAGAATGTCGGGGAAGAGTTCCGTCAGCATGATGGCGTGGTGACGATCTTGATGTTCTACCGTCGCAGGGCTTCGCCTAAGCACCGCTACAATATTATCGAGGATTATGGTGGAGGGGGGGGCACCGCACACGGCTAAGAGATCAAGAGATCAATTGTTGTGGTGTCTAGAGGTGCCCCCTACCCCCGTATATAAAGGAGCAAGGGGAAGGGGCGGCCGACCAAGAGGGGCGCGCCAGGAGGAGTCCTACTCCCACCGGGAGTAGGACTCCCTCCTTTTCTTGTCGAACTAGGAGAGGGGAAGGAAGGGAAGGAGAAGGAGAAGGAAGGAGAGGGAGGAAAAGGAGGAAAGGGGGGCCGGCCCCCTAGTCCAATTCGGTTTGGGCTAGGGGGCCGTGCGCCCTATTTCCTCTCTTCCACCACTTGGCCCATGAGGCCCATTGCTTCTTCCTCGTATTCCCGTAACTCCCCGGTACCCCCGAAAATACCCGAATCACTCGGAACCTTTCCGATGTCCGAATATAGTCGTCCAATATATTGATCTTTACGTCTCGACCATTTCGAGACTCCTCGTTATGTCCCTGATCTCATTCGGGACTTCGAACTCCTTTGGTATATCAAAACTCATAAACTCATAATATAACTGTCATCGAAACCTTAAGCGTGCGGACCCTACGGGTTCGAGAACTATGTAGACATGACCTAGAACTGTTTCTGGTCAATAACCAATAGCGGAACCTGGATGCTCATATTGGCTCCTACATATTCTACGAAGATCTTTATCGGTCAAACCGCATAACAACATACGTTGTTCCCTTTGTCATCGGTATGTTACTTGCCCGAGATTCGATCGTCGGTATCTAATACCTAGTTCAATCTCGTTACCGGCAAGTCTCTTTACTCGTTACGTTATGCATCATTCCGTAACTAACTCATTAGCTACATTGCTTGCAAGGCTTATAGTGATGTGCATTACCGAGAGGGCCCAGAGATACCTCTCCGACAATCGGAGTGACAAAACCTAATCTCGAAATACGCCAACTCAACATGTACCTTTGGAGACACCTGTAGAGCTCCTTTATAATCACCCAGTTACGTTGTGACGTTTGGTAGCACACAAAGTGTTTCTCCGGTAAACGGGAATTGCATAATCTCATAGTTATAGGAACTTGTATAAGTCATGAAGAAAGCAATAGCAACATACTACACGATCAAGTGCTAAGCTAACGGAATGGGTCATGTCAATCACATCATTCTACTAATGATGTGATCCCGTTAATCAAATGACAACTCATGTCTATGGTTAGGAAACATAACCATCTTTGATTAATGAGCTAGTCAAATAGAGGCATACTAGTGACATTAAGTTTGTCTATATATTCACACATGTATTATGTTTCCGGTTAATATATTTCTAGCATGAATAATAAACATTTATCATGAAATAAGGAAATAAATAATAACTTTATTATTGCCTCTAGGGCATATTTCCTTCAAAGACTGCGTCGCCGACGTCGACGCCGTTGCGGCCGCCATCGCCGAGCGAAGCGTGCGCGAGGAGGAGGAGCGTCGGCGTCACGCCAAGCAGCTCGAAGACCTCGAGTGGCGGCAAGTGGTCGCCGCCAACCTCGCCGCCAAAGAGAAGTACGAGGAGTGGCGCCGCATCCGCGAGGAGCAGAACGTGAAGTACATCGACCTCTGCAGCTCCGACGAGGAGGATTGAGCGTTCTTCTCCTCCACGGCGTCGTCCATTTTCCCGCGACCTTGCCGCCGTTAGATCCGACCCCTCTAGTAATAGTTTAACGTAGTATGTAGTATGAACTATGTTTGTAGTGTGTTGATCATGTGAAATCTATGTAGTATGTGATGAACTACTCGCGTCAACGAGGTGCAATTTCTCCCGCGAAAGTGTTTTTTCAAATTATGCAGTTTTAGATACGGTTTCTGTTCGGCCGCGCTAGTTTTCGACCCGCAAACGCGATCTTCGTCAAACTGCAAACGTGTTTTGCGGGTTAAGTTTTTGCGGGTGCTCTAAATCCGAATCCGGCTGGGCTGGGCTCATCACCAGCACGTGCACACACGGCGGAGCATCCAGAATCCAGATCCAGATGTCGTAGGTTCACACGCGCACGCAACACATAATATTGTAACTTACACGACTCATCAAACATAAAAATCCACACCAAACCCCTTGGTTAGGTCCGCCTCCGACCCAAACCTCCAAGATTACGGCGTAACAACGACAACAACCTCTCTTATTATACGCTATCTTTCACCTCGGTTAAACCCCCAGGTTTACTTCCCCGGCTCCACTCCCGCCGCCCCGCATCTCGTGCTCCCCGCTCTCCAGCCCAGCCATGGCGTCGCCGGCCGCGGCCGCCTCCAGCCACGGCCACCACCTCCTCCTCCTCCTCATCGCGCTTCTCTTACTCCCGCTTGCCGCGGCCGCCGCGCCGCACCGGCACCGCATCCCGTCCCGCTACCTCGCCTCGCTCAACGCGTCGGCGCCACCAACCACCTTCTTCGAGGTGGACCGCCCGATCCGCCCGCCGCTGGGCAGTATAGGGCCCTGCTCCGCGCTGCTCCTGTCCCACTCCTTCGCCGAGACCTACGGCAGGCCCCCGGTCACCGCCGCCTACACGCCGCCCGAGTGCCTCGCCGCCGCGCGCGCCCGGGGCGCGTCGCTCGCGCTCGCGGTGCTCGAGTGGAGCGCCGACTGCCGCGGCCGCCAGTTCGACCGCATCTTCGGCGTCTGGCTCTCGGGCGCCGAGATCCTCCGCAGCTGCACCGCCGAGCCGCGCGCCACCGGCATTGTCTGGTCCGTCTCCCGCGACGTCACCAGGTACGCATCACTCCTCGCGGAGCCCGGCGAGGTCGCGGTGTACCTTGGCAATCTCGTCGACAAGACCTACACGGGCGTCTACCACGTCAACCTCACGCTCCACCTCTACTTCCACCCTGCGCCGCCGCCTCTCACGCAGCACGCCGATCTGATTGTACCCATCTCGAGAAGCTTGCCTCTGAACGACGGGCAGTGGTTCGCCGTCCAGAATGCCACCGACGTGCAGTCCAAGAGCCTCTCCATTCCGTCGAACACCTACAGGGCGGTCCTTGAGGTGTTCGTTTCGTTCCACTCCAGCGATGAATTCTGGTACACCAACCCTCCCAATGAGTACATTGAGGCCAACAATTTGTCCAGCGTTCCTGGCAATGGTGCGTTTCGGGAGGTCATTGTTAAAGTCGATGACCATGTCGTCGGTGCTGTTTGGCCGTTCACTGTCATCTACACCGGCGGTGTCAACCCGCTTCTCTGGAGGCCAATCACCGGCATTGGCTCGTTCAATCTACCTACCTATGACATTGATATCACGCCATTCTTGGGCAAGCTCCTGGACGGCAAGGATCACAATTTTGGGTTTGCTGTCACCAATGCATTGGATGTGTGGTACATTGATGCCAATTTACATCTGTGGTTGGATCACAAGAGCAAGAAAACAGTCGGGAGCTTGATCAGCTATGATGCACCCGCATTGGCACTGAATTTGGACTCTGGGTTCAGTGGGCTGGATGGTAAGTTCCTCACGGGCGCAAGCCGGCATGTCTCCGCAACCGGGTCAGTGAAATCATCATACGGGGAGGTGACCACAACTTTCTACCAGAGATTCAACTATGTTAACAGCAATGTGTATACCAGCAATGGCACTGTCCAAGTGGTGAACCAAACGATTGATGCAAAGTCTGGTGTTTTTGTCAAGGATGCTTCTGCTGTTCTTCTCTCGGAGGAAGTTCACAAGGTGTTTCCGCTGTATGTCTACACTGGAACATCAGACCAGGTGGGCGACGAGTACTCACTGATTTCACTTGTCAAATTGGGCATCAGCGAGAAGAGTGTCTTAGGTGGGAAGTTGGGTTCTCGTACCGCTCTCTGCGGAATGCACAGTCAGCACGAGGCACTATGAAGGTCAAGAAGAATTTGGTGGTTAGTGGACTGGGAAAGACACATCAGGTGTACAAATATGTGGGTACTGATGGATGCTACTTCAGGGATGTGAGCAGCAAGAATTACACTATAATTTCTGACAACTCTGGTGGTTCTTGCTCAAAGGGATCGCCGTCTAGTGGTGTCAAATTCTCCTCCAATAAAAATCAACCAGCTAGGAAAAGGTTGCTGAAACTGTAACTTGGAATTAAGGTGGGTAACTGAATTATCTATCGTTCAGTTTACTTACTTTGTCTCTTCACTCGAGATTTGTTAGGTTAGATTATCGTTCATGTACTAGGTAAGAAATATGCTTGGAATTATCTCTACATGCATCCCACATTGTAAGTCTTCTAGTAGAAGACAACTTTCTCTTCTGGAATGTATATAAATCAATAAAAGTGGCGCTTGGGTTTCAAAATATTCCAAGTACTCCCTGTGTTCCTAAATATAAGTATTTTAGAGATTCCAATATACACTACATACGGAGCAAAATGAATGAATCTACACTCTAAAATATGACTATATACATCCGTATGTTTTTTTTTTTGGAGATGTATACATCTGTATGTAGTTTGCATTGAAATAGATGCAATCAAATATTTCTGAACTTATCACTGCAAAAAAATATATTTCTGAACTTATTAACCGGAGAGGTATAAAGAGACTGGTTTCCTTTTTCTCTGATCATACCATGAGCATTCAGCATCCAACTCAAGATTTGCAATAGGGTTGATGGCACAGGATTGATTTTTTTTTTCCGGATGAGCTAAAGACAATATGCCAACTCGGTCTTTGGGTTCTCTACTTCTTTGTCTGAATAATGCAGCTTGCTGTTGAAAAAAAATTGCGCAATTTAAATGGCCAGCGGTTTGCTTTTGACAGAAAATTGTTCCACAAAAACAGGACAGAATCCGAAAATCTTCATTAAGAAAAATTGAACCCATAAATTTGTATTGCCGAGGTGTCTAAATAATCACTTGCACTCCACAGATATGCACTCGTGCTTAAAATTGTTTTGTTTACTTAGCACTTCTCTAACCACCTAGCATCGTAGTTGGCTCTAATAGAGCATGATTGGTTTGATGCCAAAAATTGTCATGTCCAAATTTGGCAAATGTTTAATATTGGCTAAGTGATTGGTTGGTTAACATTTTCCATTTTGGCGAAGCTCACAAAAGTTGCCAATATAAGTTGCCGAATCTTGGTAACTTTTAATTTTAATTACCAAATGTTGCCTTGTCAAATGTTGCATTAAACCAATTAGCCTCATACTCCTCTGTTCCAAAATATATGAAGTATTGGGTTTGTCCTAAGTCAAACTTCTTTCGAGATCTCGCGGAAAAAGGGGACCACAGTGGACAAGGCTTTGAGGGATAATGCTTGGGTTAATCACATCGATACCCAACATGGGATGACGCTTGCTCACATTCAACAATTTGCCACTCTGGGAAAAGCTAGCCAATGTCAACATACAACCTGGAGTTCGTGATTCTATTATCTGGAAGCTCATTAATGCAGGGACTTACACTGCATCGTCGGCTTACAAGGTCCAATTCGCTGGACATCTACGCTCACCCTTGCAGGATATGGTTTGGAAGGTTTGGTCACCCTCCAAATGCAATTTTTTTGCTTGGTTGGTCACTCAATACAGGATTTGGACAGCGGATAGACTTCAGCGTAGAGGATGGCCCAATTGCGAATTTGCGATCAATGCCCTTTTTGTAGCCAAGTGCAGGAATCGGCGGCCCACCTCCTTTTCAAGTGCCGGTTCGCAACTCGCGTTTGGAAGGAGGTGTTCTCAGGGCTGGATCTTCAAGTTGACACGACGAATTGGCATATCTTCACCACGGTTAAAGCTTGGTGGCAAGGAATCATCAACAGTGTTCATCAAAGAAAGGCTCTCTCATCGTTGATCCACCTTGTTAGATGGGAGATTTAGAAAGAAAGGAACGCGCACGTCTTTAGAAACAAAGCGGCACCGGTGGCCGTCATTGTTAACCTTATTAAGGAGGAGGCAGCGCTTTGGGCTATTGTGGGTGCCAAGCATTTATGTAATGTAATGCCGCGAGAGTAATTAGTTAGCGTTTGTGCCGCTTGAGCGGTGTGTATCTCACAAACTTCTCTCTTAATCAATGAAAATGGCAAGTCTTTTGCCTTGTTTCAAAAAAAATGAGTCAAGCTTCTTTATGTTTGATCAAGTCTATAGAAAAATGTTCAATGCCTACAACATCAAACTAGTATCATTGTACTTTTCATATAATATATTTTCATGCCATGTATAATTTGGTTGTAGATATTAGCATATTTTTTCTGTATACTCAGTCAAACTTGAAGGAATTTGAGTTAGGACAAGCTAAAAACTTCATGAAACGAAGGGAGTACTCCAGTATGCATGTTCGATCGTAATGGCAACTCCTTCTCAAACAAAATGGGCAACAAAGACCCCTAGAAAAAAAATATATGTATTCAGTTTGGAGAGCAACCTCAGTCTTGTATGATGTTGAGATTATGAATCGGAAAGGAATGGATTATTGGCTTATGCTGATTCTATAAATCACATGTTCAGCCAAATACAGTACTTCATCCGTTCCTAAATCGTATGTAGTCCATAGTGAAATCTCTAAATGGTCTTATATTTAGGAACGGAGAGAGTATAAGGTGAATGAAGACAACAATTTTTCTCTCTCTGAGGACAAACGAGGCCTCATTAATCTTTTGTAAAAAAACTGGAGGGCCATGTTGAAAACTAGGAGTAATACAGAGCTTCCTAGCAAAAAAAACAAATCTAATGCAGAGCCCAAGGATACAAACCAAACCAAACCAAAGGCCCAGTTAGGTCGGCCCAAATTAAGTAACACAGTCGACTCGGCCGGCGAAGGCGGTCGGCAGTCGGCACTCTCCCCTCTCTGCTCGCCAGTCGCCGCCTCCGGCCTCGTTGCCATCCACCCGCTCCGGCCGCACGCCTGCGCACCTCACCAGCGTCGCTTCCCGATTGGGTTCGGTGAACCCAGTTTCCGTTCGTCACCTCCGATCTCGTCGCCGTCCATCCGTTCCGGCCGCACGCCTGCGCACCTCACCAGCGTTCGCCTCCGTGATAACGACCCCTCCCCCTCCCCACGGCCATACCTTATCTACGCTCAAGCCCCATCTCTGAGACGTCACCCAAGTGGATGATTCGCTGGCTTGGATCTAGTCTAGGTTTTAATTAGCTTGGGGAACCCTAGACGTGTGCAACGACACATACTAATTTCGTAGCCTCGTAATCATAGGCAAGGGGACTACGTGAGACACGAGATTGGTGAATAGTAGAATGAAAATCGAAAAAAAAAATCCCCACTTGACGCGTACCTGTAGTCTCTGTGCATATTTGGGTGTTCTTGCTCGACTGATTACTGAGCAACATGATAAGCGTACCCCCCTGCTGTTGTTGCAGAAAAAGTGTGACGCCTCAGTGATGCCGCCAAAGGTGTCCGTCGCCGCCTCAAACGATGGCGCGCTGCCTGAAGACATGCTGCGTCACATCCTCGTGCGCCTCCCCACGAAGACGGTGTGCCGCTTCCGAGCGGTTTGCCGATCCTGGAGGTCCCTCCTCACAGATCCGCTCTTCCTTGCAGCGCACAAGTCCAACCACCCTGGGCCACTAATCGTCACATGTAAGAGTGAGATGTTTGAAAGAGGCGCCATTAACATTGTGGACTTGTCTGGCCATGTCGTTAAGCGGATAGCCATCACCATGAAGGATGCCAGGATGGTGCGCACACGCAGCCTGGACCTTATTTGTGTCACCGGACGTAAGGGCTGCCATGTGATCAACCCTGCCACTGGCGATGCTTTTGCATTGCCCAGCTGCCGCGCAAAGGAGCATGCACATGTGGAACATTTCTTCCCAGAATCATTTGACTTTGGACAGGTTGTCACCACGGGAGAATACAAGGCCGTACGCTGTGTTAGCATCGATAATTCCGATCATGCGTCCAGCCCGATGCTCTGTGAGGTCATCACCCTTGATGATGGTCGCCATGCAAGATGGAGGGGCAAACAGGGCCCTCCGGCCCCTGTCACAAGTAATCGTAACAGAAGTATTGTTGTCAACGGTGTCGTTTATTTCTTGTTGGATTTTCTATACACGCGTTTCACATTTTCTGGGGGCCGTGTCAAACCTGGTAGCATGGCTTTGTTCAACCTTGAGACAGAGGAGTGGATGGGGATTGTCCAAGGTCCAACTCCAGTGCGCAGCTTTGTTCAGGACAGCAATGGCAGGTGCGGTTACTTTAGTCTATACTTGGATCTATCAGTGGTAAATTTGGATGGGTTCCTAGTCATGGCACACAATCCTGAAGGTTGCTCTTTGGACTTATGGTTTTTGATGGATATTGAGAAATGTCTCTGGAATAAAAGGCACAGCTTGGATTTCCAGCCTGAAAATCTCTTTGCTCAACCCTTGGAAATTCTAAATGACGGGAAGATAATCCTGTCTGCATCAGGATCACTAAGACACTATGATCCAATTACCAAGACTTACATTGATTTTGAGATGAGAAATTCCACATCAGTTGGTACTTACACTGGAAGTCTGTTGTCTTCAGAGAGCGCCTTCACTTCTGAGGTGAGTGTTATCCTCATGTGCTTGTGATTTTTTATATGTTGTCCTGTCCTTAGTATTATTTGCTTTTATTCTTGTATCGTGAGATAATTTTCTAGGCGATGTAAGGAACATTTATTAGGGATTAAATAATTGTAGATGCATTTTTAGGAAAGTAATTGTTGCAGTGTCATAGGTGTGATGCACAACATTAGTAGAAGTATATGGATTTCTCCATATCTGTGGTCATGTTTTGAATCAGTTTCTCCTATCAAGCTGTGCAGTTTTGGCACCCGCAGATTATGATCCCTTCCTTTTTGAGAATGGAAATTATTGTTGCATTAATTTAGATTGCTGAAGCTTTCTTAGGTTTTATTCAAAGGTCCACCAGTGAGAGAATATCACATCTCAAGTTTCTTTTTTCTAGAGTTGTGTGTCAAAGCACTCTCAACACAAAAGAAAAAGAGTCAGGAAACTGAGGGTCTGATTCACAATGGTCGCTACTGTTAGAGTACGTAATGGGCCTAATGGGCCCGTTAGTCTTAGGGTTAATTAGAGATAAGGGTCGCTTACTTAGGGGTCAAGTAAGCCTTGCTTGGGAGTCAAGTAAACCTTTCTATATAAAGAGAGGAGATGTATCAATCTAATCAAGCAAGAATTAAGAAGGAAATCCCTTCCCTCTTGCCCTGCCGTGGGCAAAAAGGCCCCCGGCCGGCCCTCTCGCGCCCTCCTTCTAGCAGCACCATAACAATTTGGTATCAGCTAGCTTTGGTTCGATCATGTCTTCATCGCCGCCAAGCCCGTCTCTTCCACTGCCGGTCACCTTGTCGCCTCCGGCGACCACCACGACCGTTGCCCTGCTCCTGCCCGCGCCGGGGTCCTCCGTTGCGCCCGCCCCCGCCGTCCTCACCTGGGAGGAGGTGTCCGGGGTGTTGCGGGACCTAACCCAAGCGGTCCAGAAGATCCACCTGTTCTTGGCCGGGTCCTACGGGCCGCACCCGGCTGCGCCGCCCATCGCCGCCCCCGCGCCGCTGTGGCTGCCGTGGCAGCCGCCGCACCAGGCGACCTTCGCCGTGCTCGCCGGGCCGCTACAGATGCCATCCATCGCCACCACCGCCCAGCCCTGGCTGCAGTGGCAGCCGCCGCTCCTGGCGGCCTCCGCCGCGCCCGGCGCTCTGCCGCAGCAGCCGCTGCCGCTGCCTGGCGCAGCACCGCAGCAGCTGCAGCAGCCACCGCCGGTCAGCTCCGCCGACCAGTATGGGATGCCCTACGACAGGAGTGCGACGACCTCGTTCCCATCAGCGTCGTCGCCATCCCAGGGCGTCCACATCCAGCAGATCAAGTCCCCGCCGTCGCCGTCACCGCTTCCGTCTTGGATCGCTACCCGCCACGTGTCGACGGCGGTGAGGCTGCAGGCTGCTGCGCGCGGCCTCCTAGCGCGTCGGCGTGTGCGGGAGATGCGTGGTCTGCAGCTGCCGCTCCTCCAAGTTGCCCTTCGCTGCGCAAAGGACCTTGATCTCGTCCGTTGCGTCGGGGATCTTGGGCATGCTGTTTCCCCCACGGGCGGCGGGCATGCTGTTTTCCCCGCGGGCAGCAACCTCAAAG